AATACATGCACCGTACTAACTGCTACGGCAGTTATTTTCTCCTTTGAATACTGCCCACCTGCAATAATGATTCCGTAACGTACTCCTTGCGCTATCTTTTGACCATTTGGCAACTTTTCGTTTCGTAGCTGACACGGTACAACACTTTTCTTTCGCTTACTTCACACGGCCAGTCATTTTGTTTACAAAGAAATGGTGTGCTATGCGCATGCGCTAGTAGAGGGAAATCCCTGAACAAAACGTTGGTCAGACAGGTAGAAATACCGATGATTTTCTTAGATTTAATCATTTTTATGAATCTATTTCAGCCAAATCCGATCGCTATTTTCCATAAGGAGTCTCACTTGATATGTTTATGTTGTATTTGAAAAAAAGACAAAAAATAAAGTTACTTCACCGTGATGCCCCTTTAAGAACCCAATACAATGATACAAATGTATTGCCAAACAATCTGCAACGGCTAAGGCACAAAGTTTTCGAACAATATCTCATATGAAAACTAAAACCTTGCCTCATACAAAACTAAAACCTCGTCTTACAAAAACTCACAAACCACCCAAAACAGTACCAAGACCTTATCACATAAAAATCACAACCTCGTCGTATAAAATACCCATAATCTACTCACTACACTACCAAAACCTTATCACATACAAAAATACTACCTCGTCCTTTATAAAAAAAATACCACCTACCCAATACAAAACCAAAACCTTGTAATAACACATGTACAATCGCATCACATTAAAAACCCACAAACCACCCAATACAATACAACCAACCCTGCAGATCGCAGATCGCGGATCGGGAAAAGAATATCATTCATATATGTTCTTATTGCGGGTCAATCAAGGGTTACTACATTTACATGGCAGAACAATAAATTCAGCCCAGCTAAACATAAAACTGCACAGTAAGCCATCTGTATAACCGTATCAACATGTAAACAGCGGTTGTGTGTATAATAAAACGTGATTTCCATGTTTACTCACCAGTTACTTGAATGCATTGGAGAGGATAACCAAGCCCGGATATATGCCGAGCACACAGGACGTGTTACGCACAGCACTCAAAACAACAGGGATAGTCGAGTCCAAATTCCTGTTCAAAAGCGTGCATTTCAAGTAAGCATTATCAGCGCTTTAACAGCGCTATTTCTTCATTGTTCAAGATAACCATCCATACGATTTTTCATCATGCATTATTTCAGAAATATCACAACATACTATGTATCGTTATATAATGTAAATTTCGTAATGAGGTGTTCTTATCTTTATAAAAATTTTACTACCATGTCAATGTTTTATTAAAAACATGCATGGAAATGTTTTGTCGAAATTCACACGATATAACATATGTCAATATCAGTTTTATAGGGTCTATTTCCAGCTATGTTAAAGTTACATAGGAGCCTGCCCCCTCATAACTTTTGTTTCAGAAGTGCTACCAGATTTATATATCGGTAGATTTTACTTTGAATAACTCTATTTATTTAGATGATTAATTAACAGAATTACAACATGGGGTTGAAAAATGGAATAAAAGCCTGAAAAGTATTTTTCTGAAAAATATATGATAATTTCCCTTGGGAAAGAACTTTCCTTTCACGTGATGCAGATTAATATTTTCATCATCCAGATTTGAGGATAATCGAACATTTTGGTAAAAAATATCACAAGTGGTGTTATTTCAAGTATGTATGCATATTTCGCACAACAAAGTACTCTTTGTGCCCAAAAACGTGAGGACCTAAGACACCTCCATGGCGTTCACCAGAAAGTAATGCACCAGATTACAGGTAATTGGTAATGAAATTCGTTGCATTTTAGGTCACCAACAAGAGATCCCAGAGAGAACCTGGCGCCCACCATTTACTAATCTTCATTGGTTCAATGCCAGTGACGTTTTCTCTTCTTTTCTCCTATCCGTCTGATTAAGTCATGTATACAGTAAATTCCTCATCTGTTAATACAACCATAACATAATCAAGGTTGCTAACTCTGTCCCCCGTTCCAGAAAACATGCGATGTTGTCAAAACCGTTCATATTATGACTCCGGGAGCAGCCTAAACAGACAGGAAAATATGTTTTCCTTAATTTGATATATAATTTACCATATATCATGCAGTATAATTTTCGGTAGATTTCATGAAACATCGAAAAATGACCGAATTTCAGCTGGTCGGACACTGCTGATTCCCGCTAATTCCCTAATGGATAGCGCAAAACACACGGCATGTACGCTATTCAATGTCAATAGGATGTTTCTACGATAGGAAACAAACTTACTTGTTTGATAGTTCATTCCCTTACATTATCATGTATGACACCCAGGTACAGTTTCCAAGGACCAATGGGAACCTACATATCAAATTTGAGAACGATCCCTCAAGAATTAGCAATAACAAACTGTAACTGCCAAAATTCAAGATGGCCACCTTTTATCCAATTTGATTATTCCATCAGTCACAAAAGCAAGCATGCACAATAAAGGACCAATGAAAACCTACAGAGCAAATTTGAGACAGATCCATCCAGTGCTTTCTAAGAAATAGTGATAACAAACCTGTTCTGTCAAAATCCAAGATAGCCGCCAGTCGGCCATTTTGATTATCTGATCAGTCTCAAAAGTAAACAAGACCAACACAACGACAGACCAAAGCGAGCCTACATATCAAATTTGAGAAAGATCCCTCCAGTACTTCCTGCGAGATAGCCTTCACTGTCAAAATCCATCTTCAATATGAGAAAGAGTCATGCGGTAATTTCTGAGAAAAAGCGCTAAGAAATTTTACTTCTAAAAAGTCAAGAGTGGCTTAGGTTAGCTATATAGGGCACTATATCAAATGTTGTATATCATTTCATCTCATAATGAATAGTAATTGTATTGTGAAGGTTACCATTGTATCGCGGAGAAATATCGTAAATGTAAAAGTACAAGAAATGTAAAAAATAAATCCTCTGTGTAAATAGCTTTTGGATATACTACCAAAACATGGCATAGATTGCTCACATGACGATGTTAGTATTTGTCCGAAGTGCTACATAAGGTATCTGTGCAAAGAAAATCTGTAACAGAACGTATGGGAAATGAAACTACTAGTATTTTTCCTCTCTTTACAATCAAGGACCTGTTGTACGGGCACTTTTCACGTAAAAACTATTGTCTTGGTTTCAACAATTTTAATACGAAGGGGGAAAAATCCACACTTCTGCGAAAACGTGCCAGTCATCAATCTATTTTCACGCACAAATTGTGGTGCTCTGCGTCATCACTTGTATGCACATTTCATCTTATTGATAATGAACTAAACACAGGTAATCATACCTTTGGATTCTCAATTAAGAAGGTCGTCTGAAATTGTAATTAACGACCGGTTAGAAGTGTCGTACATCTTATCGAAGACTATGGTGTTGTCTTACTAATCTATGCAATAGGACAGACAGTTGACTTTGTCTGGGAAGGACATTTAATTCAATTGTGGTAATGCAAATAATTTTGATTATACCCAACATTATATATTGTTACTATGTTTGGAGAGGGCTTAAATAGGCTATGCATGCTGCCCAATTCATTTGTCCTTTGACAATAAACTTTATTGAAATTGAAATTGAAACAAAAGATCCCAAACAAACAATTCAAAATATCCGTGTCCTTTCAAAGAATAACTCTATAGTTTCAGTGTTCATTGGTTCTGACCATTTGAGTAGGGAACAGATGCTTTCACACAATTCAGTATTCTTAGAAACATTCCTCGTGAAAAGAGTGACTGTCATCCTATATAGTACATATATTTACATAACAAAGTGCTGACCATAAGCTTCAGAGAATGACTGTGGCCATGGGAACGCAATTGTTTTAAATTCATGAGCATGGCTCTACATGATGGCTACATTTTAGACACAATAGGACCATTCTCGGGAAGCCAACATGATGCAAGTATTTCAAAACAAACATCAAGCTAACAAGGTTGGAGCAAGAGGACATCTTTTAGATCTGTCCTGCCAGTGTTAGAGGATACTGGTATTATTACCAGTAGGTATATCTTAAGGTCGAATGAGTGTATTGATAAACTGAAATAGGAAGTACATCCCTAGTTGAAAATTCTCAGACCATTTTGTTTTACCAAGTGCCAAAAATACAGGAAAAGTAAGTAGAAAATATTGTTGATAATCATATTACCAAAGAGTTGTCATTCTTGGCAGAATATTATAATACAGAAATACATTATACTATAATTACTGTGTAATGAGTCATTATGTTTAGGTTTGGTCCATTATCTTATAATGATGAATATTGTATGTTTATTATTGACAGAACAGTGTGTTCTCTCAATATTAAAGTATTTCAAAGCAATGCAGGCATTTATTCAGGTTTTTTATCAATGAGCCACATGTGTCCATTTTTCTGTACTTCAGGAAGCCGGCTACCTAATTCTCTACTGTGAAGTTTTTCAAGAAAGATAAGTCTTACCTGCAATTACTATGTGTATATGGTTTTATTATAAAATGTCAATTTTTAATCGTTTATAGATAATTCATTTGACATAACTTCAGCATTTATTAAATTGATATACATTAATGCAATACTAATATATGTCAGTGTCTTTTTTATTGACATTATTTTGTATCTTTATTTTTGTTTTCAAAAGTCACTCATTTTTACATAAATTTCCATTTGAATTCCTTGAAATTATGACAACCTATATTTTTTTTTGTGGCAGTTACTAAATCCCGATGGACTGTAGAGTCTTATCATGGTCGTCTTAAGCATTGGACGTTTTCTAGATCTCAACTAGCATCAAATTGCTTCATTGATATAAGTGCTAAAGATTGAGACTACATGTTTAAATGGGATACGGGGACTAAGTTATCAAAGATAACACAGAAAGGTCGCACAACAAATGAATTTCGACTTGCAAAAACAAACTGTTTGGTTCAGAGGCTTAAAACAGAACAAGCTCTCTCCAAGAGAGCCAAGTCGGAATTCATAAAGATGGATGCGTCTTCACTTACTTTTGCAGAGCTCAATTTGGAATATTTGAAGTCTATACTTCGCGGCACCAGTTATAATAAGCTCCAGAATATATCAGTGAATATCTTGATGATGGAGATTATGAAATAAGGGTGTGTCTTCACTCCCAAGACCTCATCCGTTGTCAGATTCGTTCCAGACACACGAGCCAGACTGAATATAATGTTTGGTACAGCACGACACCAAATGATAATAATCAAATAAAAGAATACTACTGCCACAGCTCAGTTGGTCAAAGAACTCTAGGAATGTATGCGTATACACCATACGTACTTTATTATTTGGGTTAGTATAGCAATCTTCAAAATCCGGAACAGTTACACCCAAGGGCTAAGAGGTTCCGACAAAGCTTGAAATAAGTTGTTTTCTTGTGAATCTAGATTCACCAGTTTGAAAACAAACTCAAAGCCTCACCTTGTTTTCTCTTCCTTCTTTTTTCCAAGTCTGCCATTCGAACACATTTCATACTCCTGTACCTCCAACAAGTTCTTGTAAATGTCATTTGCTGTTGATAGGGCGTCTAACTTTAAAATTTATTCCAAAAAGAAAGTAACAAACAAACACACAATCTCTTAATTCCATTGCTATTGCAAGAAAGTTGAATGAGAATCTGACAACTGATTTGGCAGTAGAATGAATGTTTTGGTGGCCATCTGGAAATGGAATAAACCAACTAATATAAAGATTCATTCCGTCCGAACTGGAACTATTAATTTGTTCTTTTCTACACAATTGCTGTACTATAGTCAGTTATCTATTCTTTTTCTCTGTCGTTGTCTACTATTAAGGGGCATTTGAGGAAATCAAGAGTATACCTGTTGTATCGTAATAGGCGACTGGTGTTTGGACCCCTGCGGCATAGGGGATTTCTTCCATGACTTCTACGAAGGGAACATGGAAGAGACCAAAATTGATCTGCCGCCCCAACATTTGGTTCTACGAAAAAAGGAACCAAGTGTTAATTTGCATTTCAATGGGTGTTTTTGTTGTGATAAGGTTCAGGTCTATACCATACCAAAAGAACATTGAAATCAAAGTAGGGGCTATTTTGGGAAACCACCCTTTATGAAACATTAAACAAATAAACCGTGACTATGATTCACTAGTTCTAGATTTTTTTTTTATTACACTTTAATATATTTGTAGAGTGATCGACACTGGAGGGCAACGATCAGAGAGGAAGAAGTGGATCCATTGTTTTCAGGACGTGACGTCAGTTCTGTTTATTGTTGCTATGAGTGAATATGATTTGACCTTAATTGAGGACGAAGACGTGGTAAGGCAATGGTTATAAAACGAGAAAAATATCAAAAGCCTGACACTATCGCCATTTTACCTTTCACTATCACTAACTGGTGATTTCAAAGAAATGCATGATTATTTTTATAGTGAACCAATATTGAAACTTTTGCTACAGTTTCTGTACCATAAATATAGTATTAATCACACTTATTTTTATTTTTTCCAGTACAAAGTTCTGTTTCAAAATAAACCAAACTGTATTCCAATCGTTGGTATGCACATTTTGTCCCTTTTAATGACAATATAACATAATTGACAAAGGGAGACATAAACCTGTCTGCCGTTTGTCCATACATTTATTTCCATTATTAAATCAATATATTCATTTTGATTGCTGCTGTTATTATTATCATTGTTAGGATTTGATTTTAAACGACCCATAAACACAAAAGTGACCATTAACGTCATTGAAAGTAGATGACACGTGTTATAGGAAATTACATCAAACGAACAAAAAAGTAAAAAAACAAATGTCAACTTGAAACAAAGTGTCTATGATTTAGTTACATCTTTTTGAACAGACTAATAGTTGTAAGGTACGTTAGAATTGCCGATATACTGACATTTTCGAAAAGTGATTTGAGAATTGTTACGTTGCAAACAAGAAAAACATTATTTTTGTTTTGGTTAGCTTGTAGTAATAGTACTATTACAATAAGATATGATGAAGTTTTAAACTAATCTTGGTTCTAAAGATGCATACTTTCTCTTTTGCCAATTTAAATTATTCAGTTTTAGTTTGATGAACTCCTTTTCGTGAACCTCTGGGTTTTTTGTTTTTTTTTATTAATTTTATTTTTCAAGCCTTTTTTGACATTTATAATACATCAACATGACATATACATACACTCTCTCACACAAACAGTTAGCAATCATCAACACCTGTTTTACAGTGTTGTTTGGCCCAAAATGACTACAAACAGGGGGAAAAGCATGCTGTATTCTTGTGCATGATCGTATGAGGCCCTAAAGTGGCCCGTACATAATCGGGGGTTTTCCTCTGCTTTCTACACATAGAACACTGACGAGACCAAAATTGATATGCTGCCCCTCAGCAACAATTTGGATCCTCTCCGTTTCCTATCTTTTCTGTCTACTTTCTCTCTTCTATATCTTCGTTCTCTTCCCGGCGGTTTCTCCTCAAGCAGCAGTCTTTATCTGACTGTGGCTGTTGCAAGGTCGTTAAATGCCAAATATGCAAATCTTAATTCTACAAATTGGAAGAGTAATACAAGTCATAATGACTAGCTGTGTATGTATTTTGTAAATGGTTTCAGAACCGAATGGGTGAGAGTTTACGCCTGTTTGATAGCATCTGCAACAACAAGTGGTTCGTGCAGACTCACATGATCCTTTTCCTGAACAAGAAGGACTTGTTCAAGGAGAAGATAACTCGATCACCACTCACAGTTTGTTTCTCCGATTACCAAGGTATTGTATAGTTTTATATCGCTAACGTATAACAGTAGTGTACCGTGTGTTCATCTATTCGTATAGAACTTTCATAGGGGTAATGATATAAAAAACAATAGAATTACGTCACATTGTGATTCGAACAATGACGTTGAATCGTTAAATGATTCTAACTGATTTTAAAAATATTTAACGGGTGTGCCAACCACGAAATGTAGTATGGTAATAAATACAATACTAAGTTAAAATTCAAGACATTTCATACCAAAATAAGCAAGAAATCTCAATTCGAATTTTTGATAATAAACCTTTTCCTATACATCCAGTATCTCCTGTGTTGTCCTCTGCAATGCGGAAGTTACAGTTGAACATGTGAAAAGGAGATATATAATGAAGTATGCATTTGTTCTCATTTTAGGTCAGAACACCTTCGAAGCGGCAGCACCATACATACAGTTTAAGTTTTTAAACACCAACAAATGCGAGAACAAGGAAATGTTCTGTCACTTCACATGTGCCACTGATACCAATAACATTCAGTTTGTGTTCGACACAATCAGTGACAGTATTTTTAACGAAAATCTGGAAAGTATTGGCTTAAATTGACACGTTCATGTGTTATGTTCTGTAAAACAATAGTGTTCTTTCCGATCACACCTCGTGTCAGACGATATTACTGTATTTCAACAGCTCTTGTCGCATGATATTACTCTGCCAAGCATTGCATCGCGTCAGAATTCATACAATATTTATGTATCCAGCAATGCCCCATGTCCAACATTTTAAAGTACGGTTAGATATAAATGATTCATGAATAAATCCTTTTCTGATTTGCTCTTTCGCTAGAGCCTGTAATGTAACTGCTCAACTGTCAAGTCTGATATAAATGTAGGTTATTCGATATGTTTAATACGAAATTCGATTACTTTTTTTCTTAAAGTCAGAGACAGTCATATTTATTCCTCGTTATTTTTTTGACAATTTATTAGCCCAAGTGACCTTTCCTGTGTTGTTTGCCATTAAGCATGTAAATAATAATGATAATACATCATTCCTCCAAAGTAATGTGTTTAAGTGTAGGACTGTGTTCGTCCAGATTAGCTTTCTGCAAGAAACCTTATTTACGTAAGTGTTCCTATGGGCATGTTGTTTTATCTGATGCTACCTTTGCAACACTCGTTAACTATGTCTTTTCTGGTTTTATTTCTCTATTCTTTCTTTCGGCATCAGTCTTCATATGCCCATATTTAATGCTTTGCGAAGAAGCACTACAAAGAATGTGGGGATGAAAGGTTATTTCCTTGTGAAATAATTTGTATGAAATGACCATAAATTTGGTTATCGAATGAGATGGTTTTAAACTAGATATTAATATCGACGCGGCTGTCTACCAAAAAACACACTTTCCATGTTTGACTTCATCCCATCTTCATCTTTAACTCTGTAGACTATACCACGATATAACAACGCTAAATAATTAACGAAATTGAGTGCGATCAATCCCAAGTATCAATATATATACCGCTAATGCCAGTCCACAGAAGTCCACAAAATAATACGCATCCTCTCAATCGTTTCTTAACAACATAGTAACGATTGGTAGCGTCCTTATACTGTTTGATATTGCCCTTTTTTTCTATCAGATGCATTAATTAATGAGTAGGCATGCGCGATGCATTCGGCTTATGGAGAGCACTATTAGGATTCTTGACTTGTTAATCAAAGGCGGTAAGGTATCAGACCAAATGTATACCTAGCATCCTTCCAATAAATGTTCAGTAGTTATCAAGACGATATGGAATGCATGATAGTCTAATAGCTTGATCTTACAAATGGTGTAATATTTCGATAGACACCGTCGGCAGGACTTGTAATTATATGTTGCACACCTCAATCCGTTAATTAATATGCTCATTATGGACATCATAGCTATAGTCATGACAAGTTTGAAGGATGATGTGAAATTGTAAACTAAAGGTAATTTGCTGGCTTGAAATAATAAATTCGTATCTTATGACACTCGTTTAAAATCATGTATGTTATAGATTGTGTCCTACTAAATCAAAACAAGTGTCCCTTTGAGAAAAGTTCGTAATGTTTCAGCAATGATACATTTCTTGACTTTAAGCTATTGTAAGACATCTATATTGTATATACAATATGGCTTGAAATGACAGGGAAACCGACACTTGTTCAGGATATGTGTTTTATCTCGTTGTCAGGATATACCATTCCGTAGGAGAGGAGAGGAGCGGATCAGTGGAATGTCAGCGTATCAATAACAAGAGTACCCCGGGGCGGAACAATATACGCCCGTTGAATGCCATATATTGTTATATACTTTCTTACATTGAAATAAGATCTGCATCATTCAAAGAGTGGTTAGCTGACATGGTGATGTAGGAGAAAATCTCCGGATAAAAAAAATGAAATACTGAAATGAACAAATGGCAATAACCTTTGCAAAAATCGTCGAATCAAAATTCTTTTCAGGGAAACACAACAACATATCATGATTATTTAGCCTACTTAGTTTCAAAGAGATCCGTTGTAAATTGTAGGAGGAGAATGCCGAACAAAAATCAAATACTGAAATGAACAAAGGGCAACAACTTTTGCAAAAATTGTCGAATCAAAATTCCTTTCAAGTAAACACAACATAACATATCATGATTATTTAGCCTACTTAGTTTCAAAGAGATCCGTTGTAAATTGTAGGAGGAGAATGCCGAACAAAAATCAAATACTGAAATAAACAAAGGGCAATTACTTTTGCAAAATTCGTTGAATCAAAATTCTTTAAAGGGGGATACAACTTCATATCATGATTATAATGTATACCAAGTTTCAAAGAGATCGGTCGAAAAATGTAGGAGAAGATTGCCGGACAAACAAAATTTTACGCCGGCCGGCCAGACAGACGGACGGACAACGCAATACCATAATACTCCCGTCCCGTGTTAACACTTCTTAGTATACAGAGCACACACTTCCATGTTTACATTAGTCGTTTCTACATCAAGGCATGCCCTACAAAAGAAATGGCGGCATATAACTTTTAACAAATACTGTACCCTTCTGCCTCACATTCTTTTGCCGCGTGTTGAGGAAAATAGAGGGTGAAACTCCTTCTATCTTCAAGTACTACTTCAAATAGTGTCTACGTAGGCGTAAATGCCGTAAAATTATTTAGCAGAACGTCGAGTGTTGAAAGTGTATTAACGCTCAATATTGTTGTATTGGGGCCAGCATATCAATTCGCAGTCTTTGCACAATTCCAGAAAAGAAAGTTGCTGTTATATGTATGCTATATATGTGAACCTTACAATGTATTGATTATAGTGTAAATATATGTAACTCCGTAAACACTTTGTATTATATTTGAGATATCTCCAGAAAGAAGATCAGAAAAGAAGCAATTTGTTCAGGAAACAATGTATACCCTAGTCAAAGAATGCCTAGTCAGTCAATGAAAGTTGAACATTTTGATCAACATGATAATGATGATAGTTTATTGACAGTGATGTAATTTGTGATCAAAGTACTGAAGACCCTGGAAATCAAAGTGACAGCAAGTTTGAAAAATTTGTTTTATTTTTTGATCTCGATGATGCCACATTAACTTCTGCCCCAAAAATTGAAATACAGAAGTGTTTGTACAGAAATAAGGTGTGTTTGTTACCCAGGAACATCCGTCGTCAGGTAACACTGATGTCGTTGAACATGTTTTACACTTGTAACCAAATACTGTGTCAAAACACCACCAACTCACCGAGAAGCGTGAGGCTTTGTGTTCACAATTAGACGAGTTATTAAAACACGGTGGTATCCTCCCAACCCATCCCAGTTAGTGAAAAAGAGGATCTCTCAATTTCAAGCCGAATTGTTTCAGTTTTAAAACAGCAAAGGAATCAGAGTTCTAACTCCAAGAACGTAAAAGCCTCACACTTGTCATATCGGTTCAGTTGTGACTTTCACTTCCTGAATTCCCAAACACAACCATTTCGTTACACGATACCAAATATTCAGGAGTTTACTGAATCGTTTACCAACAATTTTCCAACCTTTATTACCTCCATCGACATGAGCTCTTGATTTTTCCAGATTGGTATAGATCCTGAGTGTGTGAAACATACAGCTTTTAATACTTGTTTCTGAACTTACAAATTTTCTCGACATCCAACGGGTCTTTGTTCGGTTCGGTTCCGTTCTAACGGCCTCATTAAACAACAACGCTTGAGCTTCTCAAAATAGTGTACGCTGTTCTGGAGTGTGCTACATATATCAGGGGGAGGTATTTCGTAGTAGAATGTGATCATCAAGCACTTCAAACCCTCTGCCAAAAACAGTTTAATAGAGCTATATATGAAAGGCAACCTCGATATTCAGGGGTTACGCTCACTTTCGCTCTGCACACCCCTGGAATATGTCATAGCAAAACTGAAGGCTCAGTGTGCAGCACCTTGTGGATGAGACGAGAAGACTAGTTTGATCCTTTGCTGTACATGAAAATAATTTCGCGGTCGCGTAACGGTAAACAATGACAGGCTTTGAAGTCGGGAGTCGCTCCTTTGTAATCTTCAAAGGACAAGTATTAGCCTAGTGATTGGTCAGGTTTTTTTTACCTGACACCAATCAAATAGCTAGCCGCGTGCCTTCCTTTTTGCTATGACATATTCCAGGGGTGTAGAGAGCGAATGTGGGCTGAACCCCTGGATATCGAGGATGTATGAAAGGTGGCTTGTAATTCTACAAAGATTAAACAAATTGTTTACAAACCTGCGACAAAAAGGGTTATACCGGTCTCGTTATCCAGATGACTTACCTTTCCATCAGTTGGAGAAACGGATCACAGTCCAGAGGAAACTTATTTGAATTTCCCTTATTGTGGTAAATGCGTATTCATGGAGTAAGTATTCTTAATCATGTAATTGGTTTACAGTCGTTAGAGTTGCCCCACTTGTTTAGATGCCATGTGGCTGAGCGGCTATATTGATGTAGCGTCTGCTCGCTCTGCTGTACTGAAACAACGATATGGCAAATAAAGATCGTCTGCAAGCTGTCATAGTCCCATGTTACTTCATTTATGTTGACGAACCACTAACAACTATTACTTTACCTACTAGACAGACACTATCCCTGTAACAACGGAATGTTAATTCTGAGGATGAGATCAACAACGTTTCAGTAATGTATCATTTACCATTTCCTACCTTTCACGTTGCAGATGAGTTGTTTATTGTAGGCATTTAGGAGGGTATTTCGAGGCCGCGTAAGGAAAATCATGTTCACAGCGACAAAGCTCAACAAAATCATCAATCTGAAAATAACAACATTGACTCTGGTACAAAGAAGCACATACAATCCAAGGACACTGTTGCTTCTCCAGGAAACGTTGTGACTCGACTGTTAAGTATTCTACGAACAAGACAACACATTCTCATATGATGGACCCGATCCACTTTCCAGCGACATTGACAAATCAAGCGGTGTCCAATATATAGTACCTATAGACATTTTCAGTCTTTCAACATATATTGATGGTACCAAACAAAGTGCTCTACGGGAACCGCTAAAACCCATCACAGCACACGCGAAACATCAGGATGATACGTTTAATGATAGAGGGCGGAGCTCTCCCTATAGGTAACACGTATGTAAGAAAAATAATGATTATTCACAATACCTATGAAACTGAAAAACTTGTCTTAACATGGCCGCCAGTCGCACGCGCTGTTGTCTCTGCCATCTTGATCTCGAAACAAGTTCTTGTTTGCCGAATCTCGAAAAACGTTACATTTTTGTAAGATTTAAAACTTATATCTAACTATAGGATACTTAAATATTTGATACTTTCCGGTTAAAGACGTTAATTCTCTTGACATAACTTAACCGGCTACATTGCTCTAGTTCTGAATGGTCGAAAAATGATTGTGTCGGTAGTGTGGTCTCGTTCAATCAGACACTTGTGAGGACAACAAGAGTCTGGTTGAACGAGACTATATGCAGTGGTATCAATCACCACGCAGAGTTACGGTCCTTGCACTCCATACGATAACTCTGGGTAGAGATTGCAGTGGTATATATTTAGAAAACGGAATTTCAACAAAACAACGTGCTGGTTGTCAACAAAAAAGGGAGTTTATCACAGTGACGCAAAATGATACGATAAAAAGCCATACAAGTATTTTCATAAGAATGTTTTATTTTATATTTTGCACGAAACAAAACAGAAGAAAACAATTGAATCCATAACAATTTCATTTTTGAATACAATCTCACAGCTATTTTTTATTCACAAAAGAAAATCTGCTGTTTTACAAATCTGCACGATTTGAAAAACGATATCTTTACAGTTTTAAGTGCAAAATTTATTCAATTTTTAATTGCGGAAACTATACATTTTCTCTATTGCTAAAACTATACATATAGTCAGTAAGCTGCTGAAACAAATATATTCGTTCCGGTGGAACTGAGATAGAGTATGTTAGATCTACAATAAATGTGCAGACTATCATTTCTGAATTGAGGGATATTTCAAATTATTTTTAGTCACGTGAAAATGTTTTTGTGAAATTCACATGTATTCCATCTGTTTCCCTTGAAAAATTTCGGTGATTTCAAATACATTGAAACGAAAACTGCAGTATTCTATGTATTCAGAAGAGGAAAGACAACTACAGCAAAAACACTTAAAGGAAGATTTGAAAACTATTAACTCTGCATTACTTGCTATTTCCACACCTGTGAGATGGGATCGCGACCTTTTGTTATGTTCCACAAAGAAACGTGGTAGAAAAGCAATACATCAAAAAAAAAAAATATGAATACATCGTACAAAGACTCGTATGATGGAGTGCATCCTAGTGATGTGCTGTCAAATAAATGGTATTATTTCATGTGTTTGTCTGTCACTTGTGACATAGAAGTAAAACAAGCAATTCAATTTGAAGAAGCAATAAATGATACTGACTCCAATTTCAATGAAAATGACTCTTGGGATTGTTACGCCATTGGTTTGGGTGAGAAAATTACGTCGTTTTCTCAAAAATTGATGACGTTAATCTCACAAACCAATGACGTAACAATCGATACCTGCTCACAAGAGAAGATAACGCTGCAATACGAAAAGACGGAATATGTACTTGCTTATTTTTAAACTTGATACATTTGACGTTGAACAGATCTTTCACTTTTTACCTTTGAATGTAATTTGAATGCGATTGCTGAGTAAGACGAAAACAGTGTCTTTTCTATACACTATTAACTTGCTATAAAATTGCCAGGAATGTATCCTCCAGACGAATACATGTATATGCAACCTTAGCAAATATGTATCATAACAAACTGTATATACTCTGGGTACTGTTTCCTACTTTCCAAATACAGATTGGTGGAATTTCTGATTTATGGATATTTTTACGGTTTTTTCTTCTGAACTTTCTGTTGGAGTTTTTTTTTAGAAAACTGCTGCAAGTGGTGTATTTCAACTTTTGATTTCTCTGACTTAGGAAAAAGGATACGACTAGTAGGTCTACCGCGGATCAGGCTCGCGCCACAACTCATTGTTGAGTTTTTGTGCTTAATCACGTGTACAAATCATTTAACAATAAATAAGCTTTGTTTTATGCAATGTAACTCTCTATGTAACAAATAATGTGCAAAGAAAAAATAATCGTAGATTGAGACACAGATGAAAACAAGTTTTCATAAAACATGGGTGTTGATGAAGTGACGGACAAACCTATAAATATTAATTACAGCATTTGCAAAAATTCGAGGAAATTTTGGTCATAGAATTCGACAGAACGACGGTATGGTGCTGATTTGTGCCATTTCGTCTATGTGTTAATTTCAACACCCCAAGCCTTGTCCCAAGCAACCGCGATTTATCGTATGTGTTCAGGACGTGCACCTTCAGTCAAAAAATCCTGTATTAAACTTTGTTTTCTTATATATATGCATTTTAAATAAGGGAGGTTGATTACTGTTTGTGACAAAATCTACAGCGACATTCTCTAGTGTTTTGTATGAAGTGGGACAGAAAACATTAAAATTCCTTTACACTACAAGTAACGAGGGCGCGAATTTAAAACCAGCAAATATAGGTTAGTATGTTTTGAACTGGAATATATATCAATATAAATTAATTTGCAAAAGAAAGCAAGTATGAAGCAAAATATTTACTCAAATATTTTTTTCCTGCGGTATAATGTAATAGTCATCATAATGCAGAGTAAAATATCCGGAACATGTACCTTTTTGTTATGCTAACCGAATCAAACCATTGGTTACTTGCAAGAATATCTCACCTGTTGGTTTGTCTCACGAATTCCTTCATCAGGTTTACAGTAAAAAATAATAACAAATAGTCAACTGGTTCCGCATCACAAGATACAAGATACAAGATACAAGAAACTTTATTTAACGTCGCATACAGGTATACAAGCAACATTAGCTCTTGAGAGCTATTATTGCGACAAACATATGTAAAAATAACAATAACATATTATATTACAAGTAAAGGGAGATAATCACATATATTAATAATAAAACAGTAATAATCTCCCAGGTTTCTTAGTGATTGAGAGTCCCTTACCTACAAAGGCCCCCGGGATATATATATATAAATGGTGTTAATATATGAAAAGCATTAAATGTGATCACAGATAAGTAGTATTCAGAATAGGAAAATAAAAGGCATAGTTAATAGTGAATGAATACTTGTATATCACACAAGAATTACTTAGGACTTATGTTATGATTAAAACACTATGAAGTGGAATATACATACAATGCTAATATAGCAAAGAATAAAATTTGACGGAATATACACTATTATAGTGTGAATTAAAAATGATACCGAAATCAATTAACAAAAATTATCAAGTTTTGTAAAAACGTTGAGGCATTTGATGAAGTTGAGGTGCCACTGGCGGAATGTCATTTATCTCGGGCTCTGGAGGAAACACCGTTATCCAAGGTCTGTTGGCCATGTTTTTGGTAGGAATGACGTCATGAACTTTTTGTTTACGTCATATAATCATCTTTTACGTCAGCAAAACTTGTCCTTCCCCGACCCCGGCTGGTCATTTTGTTTTGTTTTAGAATTCGGTTTGCGACAGCATCTTACAGTGTTATAGTAGACGAATACCAGTACGATATAACGAAGATGGTTCAATGGTGGCGTGCCGGTGTGCGCACTTTAGTCGAAAATTATAATAATTGAACAATGGCGTAACTCTTTAGAAAGTAGAGCTCTACATATTCGAAATCCAAGGTCCTGAACTAGTGTCGAGAGAGTAACGCTTGGATTCAGTAAATGTACAAAAAATAGAGTATGCTCTAGCATCACCTACAAACATGTTGATGTACACAAAAAGTCGCATTCGTCGTTATATAGTGACGGCAAAACCTACAGGTTTCTAAATTATACTAATTTTTTGGCTTGTAAAACAATTTACGAACGATGTACTGGTAAACATTTAACAATATAAAGTAATAAATAATGATTTCAGCTTTCCATAGAGGCATGGCATGTGGTTCTGGGTGACCATAATAGTTTTATATGATCTTTTGATAAATATCTAATTCAACATAGATTCTATGTCTTTCAGTACGCTTGACGTCCTGGTAAAACGTAATTGGGTCTACGCATATATTGTTGACGTCATAGTTCAACGACGTCATAATAGGAAATTTGAAAGCCACAGTGAAATCTTGGCCTGACAGAAAATCAGGGTTTCACTGTGGAAGCGAATGGGTTCAACGGAGCAACGGTGTCAGTATATAAGAAACTATTCGCGGACTTTCGTGCTGTAAGCGATGTATTTGAACTTTCAATTCCTCGGAGATATGACGTTGGATACGGCCGGTGGACATATGGCGGGGACAAGGCGCGCGCCACGACTCGTTGTTGTTAACTTGTGACTAAACCCTTATAGACATTATCTGGTATCAATTTTTATTAAACTTCTGTTTTCTATACTGTAGCTCTGGGTTAAACAATAGCAAACACAGGCATTTTAACAGTGATGTAAGCCGATTTTTCGTAGTAGATTTTCATATACACAGTAACCCCCCACCTTAGTTGCTTTTTTATTTTATCTATATCACGACTGAGCCAGTGTATACTGTTGTTCAGATAAGTTGGCTAGATCAATAGTATAATGGTCTGAGGTCCGGGGTTCGAAACCCGTTCGGACCCTGTTGCATTTTTTTCCTTTTTATTTCATCACTTGTTTTTCATTAAAGTACCATAAGATATGTCTCTTTCACTTCGCAGAAATGATTGATCAAATCTATAGTCACGATGGAAAAAGTACGCGGAGTTCTGTTAATATTCTTCCAACTTCACAGGAGCTGTGATTATCTAAGTTGCTTCAAACAATTACTAATTAACGACCTTGTTTGACGAAAATATACGTGCATCGGCGAGCAAGATTCAGTGAGAACAGGTTATTGATTATGAATTTGAAGACGTCAACAAAACCACTGTGAAATATTTGATATAATATCGAGTGAAATATTCGGTACTTTGTTTTGTTTGTCTTAGTTATGTTAACTGAATTAAACCAATGATAACTTACAAGAAGAATGTCTCACCTGTTGGTTGTCTCACAAATTCCTTATAAGATGTAAGTAAATATTATTGAATAAAAATGGTTCAGCATCATGTTGGGACATTTGGACGCTACATAGGTACCACTAGCCAAATTTCAGTTTCTCTCTTGCTTTGGTGGATAACGTTGTCTAAGGTTTTGATGGCTATGATTTGCTATGAATGGCGTTACACATTTTTTTTATTTACGTCAGTATCTATAAAGTAAACAAAATGTGCCACCCAACCACCACCCCATCCCAACAAAGTAATTAGGCTTTATATTAGAATTATTNGGGGGGGGTATATATGCAAGACAAATACAAAGAATTTTTTAATACCTCCCTAGCGCTTTCATCAGGGGGACTGTTTATCTATGTTGACAGGACGACAACAACACAACACAGAAAGTGATGACGTTATGTACATTGTGACAACACAATACAACCTACCAAAATTGACGCCAAAATTAACAATGCACTTAAACGTCAACATTTAAGGAGCAACAAAGATTGTGTTATAGAAATAGATACATATATAGATAGTTACAGACATGAGTTAAGCAACAGACTTTTTCACATACATTTTTCTTTATTTATTCATGCAACGATCTGTGCTGTTAGAACAATTTAAATCAGATTTTAATATATCGATTAACACTGCTTCTTTTGACTCTCGCTGTACAGTGTCTTCTGTCGCTTGATATAAAGGAATTACATGGAACTTATCATTTGCACAAGAATGTATATGCTGATTAACAGTTAAAAATCTAACTTGGTTTTAATATCTATTCTATTATAACGTCGTTCCTTTCTATCGAAACCATCAACAAATGTATCATCATTTTTTAAAAATCTTAATCTAGCCCCTAAGGTGACAGTACCCAAATCGGATCACCAAACCTTCATTTTATTAAATCATTGAAAAATCTGAGGAGGAAGTATATTTATTTATGGTTGTATCAAAGGAAGAATATCGATGAGTGTTCTTACAAACAAAATTAGCACCCGGGGCTCACTTGAGATATTTATAGAAAGCTCAAATTGGATCAAGGCTTGAATTTTGCGGTATCTTACGCATCAAATGATTATTTTTTTGTCACTATATTAACATTTTATGATGACCTTTAGAATTAAATGACAAAAAGTATTTCTATAGTGTGAATTTATTCCTATAGTCCTAAACAGAATGCATAGTCGTCGCACGCGCCATTTTTTAAAAACGTGATAAAAACACCGATATTTGAGTTTGAATTAGGTTTTTCTTGTGCTATTTGAACTTAAAAACTAATCATCTGTAGACAAAAAAACGGTGCATGACTATCTATTCTAAGACTACATCATTGTTATAACTGATGTGTTGACATATTTATTTATTTATAAGTATTTTTGCAAAAAGTGAATCGATTTTGGTACTGATCCTATTTGGGTACTGATCCGATTTGGGTACTGCCTCCTTACATGTACTTCCCCTGCTTTAAAAAGCTGAGCATGTATGAAGGGCGATAAGTCTCTCATACATATCCGTGCGTGTATAGCTATGTGAAACACACGTATGTATATACATCAACACTAAACCGGAAAAGGAAGAAATTGAATTGATCTCTACTCACACTTCTTAGTTTTCTTCCTTGAGGGGATGTGTAACTAAGTTGCTTTTCACGCTCCGACTGGTTTATATACTTCGGTTCAGTCATGTACTCCGTTTACTTGTGACCGGCGAGTAATGCGATGGACTCTAGGATGATGTGGGGACAGACATCATAAACACAGCTAGTGGAACGGAGAGGCATATATTCAAGTTACAGAACATTCAGGACATTAGTTTAACCAAGTGATACAGGCAAATGAATACTACGCAGGAAGTTTTATTTCAAGGAAAATCGGAAACGCCCACAGGAATCTGCTAACTATTTTACTAATTGACTTAGGAATTCGACAAAACTTGTGTATTTTAGTAAATAAGAATAGCATTGTCTTGATACTATGCTACTTTTATTGTGATATATGATTGTAACAACTGTAAAGGACATTGTTTTGTGATGATGGAGTATTCCCCGGGAAGATGGTGAATTTATCCAGGAAGTTTTAATTTTTATTGTGTGTAAAAGTTTTACGTTCTGTGTTTTATCAAGATTTATTATATTTAACCCAAACGATTTATCAAAAATGGGGTGTGCTCTTACTGTAGAGGAGAAAGAATCCAAACGGATTGATAAAGAACTTCGCACAGATGGCAGTAAGATCTCCAGGGAAGTTAAGTTACTACTCCTAGGTAAGTATACGTAGTATTATCATTGTGACAATAAGTCTATCTATGTGTGTATTTGACTGAGACATCATTCAATAGCATAAACAAGACATGCTGACAGGCTAGAGATATACCATCCAAGTCATTTCCTTGTCAGTTATAACACAACCATGACACGGTTAACATATATTTGCTTGAATCAGGAAACGAGGTTGTGTTAACACTATTCTTAAACAATAAAGCGATAAACCTGAACTGCTATACTGAACCATGGAGTAATAAACTCTATTGAATCATTAAACCAAAGCTGAACTGTTACAATAAGCCATAGAACAATTAACCTTAACTGTAACCGTGTACCATGGGACAGTTAACTTGAAATATAACAAATTGAATAAAATAAATGAAAGATTCCGTTACGGTAGACGTTTTATTGTTGACATATTTTGGTAGGCTATGCCTACCGTCAGTGAATCGTAGAGTAGTGAACATAGACTGTGACAGTGAAAAAGTGAACTATACAAGAGTAATATGAACTGTAACAGTGAACCATAGCGGAGTGATATAAACTGTAACAGTGAACCATAGAGGAGTGATATAAAATGTCACAGTGAACCAAAGAGGAGTTATATTCACTGTAACAGTGAACCATAGAGGAGTAATATTAACTGTAACAGTGAACCATAGAGGAGTAATATAAACTGTTACAGTGAACCATAGCGGAGTGATATAAACTGTAACAGTGAACCATAGGGGAGTGATATAAACTGTAACAGTGAACCATAGAGGATTAATATAAACTGTAACAGTGAACAATAGAGGAGTAATATAAACTGTAACAGTGAACCACAGAGGAGTAATATAAACTGTAACAGTGAACCATAGAGGATTAATATTAACTGTAACAGTGAACCATAGAGGAGTGATATTAACTGTAACAGTGAACCATATAGGAGTAATATAAACTGTTACAGTGAACAATAGAGGAGTAATATTAACTGTAACAGTGAACCATATAGGAGTGATATTAACTGTAACAGTGAACAATAGAGGAATAATATTAACTGTAACAGTGAACCATAGCGGAGTGATATAAACTGTAATAGTGAACCATAGAGGATTAATATTAACTGTAACAGTGAACCATAGCGGAGTGATATAAACTGTAACAGTGAACCATATAGGAGTGATATTAACTGTAACAGAGAACCATAGAGGAGTGATATTAACTGTAACGGGGAACCATAGAGGAGTGATATTAACTTGAACAGTGAACAATAGAGGAGTGATATTAACGGTAACGGTGAACCATAGAGGAGTGGTATTAACTGTAACAGTGAACCATACAGGAGTAATATAAACTGTAACAGTGTAACAGTGAACAATAGAGGAGAGATATTAACTGTAACAGTGAACCACAGAGGAGTAATATAAACTGTAACAGTGAACAATAGAGGATTAATATAAACTGTAACAGTTAACCATAGAGGATTAATATTAACTGTAACAGTGAACAATAGAGGAGTAATATAAACTGTAACAGTGAACCATAGAGGAGTGATATTAACTGTAACAGTGAACAATAGAGGATTAATAGAAACTGTAACAGTGAACTACAGAGAAGTGATAAGAACTGTAACAGTGAGCCATAGAGGAGTAATATAACCTGTAACAGTGAACCATATAGGAGTGATATTAACTGTAACGGTGACCCATAGAGGAGTAATATTAACTGTAACAGTGAACATTAGAGGAGTGATATTAAATGTAACAGTGAACCATACTGTAACAGTGAACCACAGAGAAGAGATAAGAACTGTAACAGTGAACCACAGAGGAGTGATATTAACTGTAACAGTGAACCACAGAGAAGTGATAAGAACTGTAACAGTGAACCATAGAGGAGTAATATAAACTGTAACAATGAATTATAGAGGAGTAATATAAACTGTAACAGTGAACAATAGAGGATTAATATAAACTGTAACAGTGAACCATAGCGGAGTGATATAAACTGTAATAGTGAACCATAGCGGAGTGATATAAACTGTAACAGTGAACCATAGTGGATTAATATTAACTGTAACAGTGAACCATATAGGAGTAATATTAACTGTAACGGTGAACAATAGATGAGTGATATTAACTGTAACAGTGAACCATAGAGGAGTGATATTAACTGTAACAGTGAACCATAGAGCCATAGCGGAGTGATATAAACTGTAAAAGTGAACCATAGCGGAGTGGTATAAACTGTAACAGTAAACCATAGAGGATTAATATAAACTGTAAAAGTGAACCATAGAGGAGTGATATTAACTGTAACAGGGAACAATAGAGGAGTGATATTAACTGAAACAGTGAACCACAGAGAAGTGATAAGAACTGTAACAGTGAACCATAGAGGAGTGATAGAAAATGTAGCAGTGAACCATAGAGGAGTGATATTAACTGAAGCAGTGAACCACAGAGAAGTGATATTAACTGTAACAGTGAACCACAGAGAAGTGATTTTAACTGTAACAGAATATTAACTGTAACAGTGAACCATATAGGGCTAATATAGTGAACCACAGAGAAGTGATTTTAACTGTAACAGAATATTAACTGTAACAGTGAACCATATAGGGCTAATATAGTGAACCACAGAGAAGTGATTTTAACTGTAACAGAATATTAACTGTAACAGTGAACCATATAGGAGGAATATTAACTGTAACGGTGAACAATAGAGGAGTGATATTAACTGTAACAGTGAACCACAGAGGAGTAATATAAACTGTAACAGTGAACCACAGAGGAGTGATATTAACTGTAACGGTGAACCATATAGGAGTAATATTAACTGTACCGGTGAACAATAGATGAGTGATATTAACTGTAACAGTGAACAATAGCGGAGTGATATTAACTGTAACGGTGATCCATAGAGGATTAATATTAACTGTTACAGTGAACCATAGAGGAGTAATATTAACTGTAACAATGAACCATAGAGGAGTGATATAAACTGTAACAGTGAACCATAGAGGAGTGATATAAAATGTAGCAGTGAACCATAGAGGAGTAAGATAAACTGTAACCGTGAACCATATAGGAGTGATATTAACTGTAACAGTGAACCATAGAGGATTAATATTAACTGTTACAGTGAACCATAGAGGAGTAATATTAACTGTAACAGTGAACCATTGAGGAGTAATATAAACTGTAACAGTGAACCATAGCGGAGTGATATAAACTGTAATAGTGAACCATAGCGGAGTGATATAAACTGTAACAGTGAACCATAGAGGATTAATATAAACTGTAACAGTGAACCATAGAGGAGTAATATTAACTGTAACAGTGAACCATAGAGGAGTAATATAAACTGTAACAGTGAACCATAGCGGAGTGATATAAACTGTAATAGTGAACCATAGCGGAGTGATATAAACTGTAACAGTGAACCATAGAGGATTAATATAAACTGTAACAGTGAACCATAGAGGAGTAATATTAACTGTAACAATGAACCATAGAGGAGTAATATTAACTGTAACAGTGAACCATAGAAGATTAGTATAAACTGTAACAGTGAACCATAGTGGAGTGATATAAAATGTAGCAGTGAACCATAGAGGAGTAAGATAAACTGTAACAGTGAACCATAGAAGATTAGTATAACTGTAACAGTGAACCACAGAGAAGTGATATTAACTGTAACGGTGAACCATACAGGATTAATATTAACTGTAACAATGAACCATAGCGGAGTGATATAATCTGTAATAGTGAGCCATAGCGGAGTGATATAAACCGTAACAGTGAACCATAGAAGATTAGTATAAGCTGTAACAGTGAACCATAGAAGATTAGTATAAGCTGTAACAGTGAACCATTGAGGAGTAATATAAACTGTAACAATGAACCATAGAGGAGTAATATAAACTGTAACAGTGAACCATAGAGGAGTGATATTAACTGTAACGGTGAACCATAGAGGATTAATATTAACTGTTACAGTGAACCATAGAGGAGTAATATTAACTGTAACAGTGAACCATAGAGGATTAATATAAACTATAACAGTGAACCATAGAGGAGTTATATAAACTTTAACAGTGAACCATAGAGGAGTTATATTAACTGTAACAGTGAACCATAGAGGAGTAATATTAACTGTAACAGTGAACCATAGAGGAGTTATATTAACTGTAACAGTGAACCATAGAGGAGTTATATTAACTGTAACAGTGAACCATAGAGGAGTAATATTAACTGTAACAGTGAACCATAGAGGAGTAATATAAACTGTAACAGTGAACCATAGCGAGTGATATTAACTGTAACAGTGAACCATAGAGGAGTGATATTAACTGTAACAGTGAACAATAGAGGATTAATATTAACTGTAACAGTGAATCATAGAGGAGTGATATAAACTGTAACAGTGAACCATTGAGGAGTAATATAAACTGTAACAGCGAACAATAGAGGAGTAATATAAACTGTAACATTGAACCATAGAGGAGTAATATTAACTTGAACAGTGAACCATATATGGCTAATATAAACTGTAACAGTGAACCATATAGGGCTAATATAAACTGTAACAATGAACCATAGATGAGTGATATTAACTGTAACAGTGAACCATAGAGGATTAATATTAACTGTTACAGTAAACCATAGAGGAGTAATATTAACTGTAACAGTGAACCATATAGGGCTAATATAAACTGTAATAATGAACCATATAGGGCTAATATAAACTGTAACAGTGAACCATAGAGGAGTAATATCAACTGCAACAGTGAACCATAGAGGAGTAATATTAACTGTAACAGTGAACCATAGAGGAGTAATCTGTGATATTCGACGAAAGAGTATTAAACTGCGATTATCGCAGTCATATTTTTAGTCAACTTAATGTATCAAACGTGTAACCTACCATATAACAGATCGTAATAGAGGTAAAACCATAACTTTTTAATGAACCATATAGGATTTTTACATTTAAATTTGGTTGGGTTAACATA